TTTGACACGATCCACCATCCACCCAGACCCTTCCCGAGTGAACTTTCCCAATCTTTCCAGGATTGTTGGGAAGGATTCATGTAGGGCTGGCGGAATCTCTTGAGCCTGTAACAGCGTGATCTGCTCTTCCAGAACACTAGTGCTTGAAGCACTTCAGTACCATTTGCTTCATCCTTCCGACGCTCAAAATCTACAGCCAACTGAAACGTAACTCCTCGTCGACCTAATAGCTCCTCGACAAGTTTACGTTTGATGTAGGGCTGAGCGCTTTTGAGGAAAGCCATCAAATCGCGTTCGGAGGGGTGTCCCTTCGGCACTTGCTTTTTCCACGCTCTCAGATGATAACCATAGCCTTTGTTTCCTCCCACGTAAGTTCCGTAGGTGGTGGGGGAGGAGCCCTTGTGGGGCGTCGTGCTTTAAATTCAGCCAGAAGCTCATCAATGTATGCGTCCATCTCATTATCGGTAGGCTCGGCGGGCCTGCGCTTGCGCGATTTGGATATAGGCGGAGTGACATTTCTTGGCGTGGGTATTGGGGCAGCGGGCGCCTGAAGAGCCTTAAGAGAGGCGTTCAGCGCGTGTCCGCTGATTACACCTCGGTCATATAGTTGCAGAAGTTTCTCGACAGTATTCATCTCAAGTGTCGCAATATTATAGTGCTATATCCTACGCGAGATAATTCTCTAAATCGAAATTAACTCAAAATGTCGAAGTTAATTCGGCGAGTAGTCTAGTATATCTCTTTCTTGCTTGTTTCTGTTAATAAACGAGCTCATGATGCACCCTATCCGCACCGCAGGCTTGACAAAGGATAGTTTCTGCCTGTGTTCCGACGCCAGTGTTACGACATGGAGCTTCGCCCACATGTGGTGAGCTTTCCGGGTAAAAACCACGTACACTTCTTCTTGCCCTGCCTCATGGCTGTCGAACGTTTGGATATACTCTATGATATTATATCTCTCTAAATAATAGACCCCGACTGCCGGTCGCGCGGGCGCGGGGATGGGCCAGCAGTCTTTGGCTCCTGCCGTTGTCCTGGGTTTGACCTTCGCTGTAATTATGCTAGCAAAATTACAAGAAGTACGTACGCGAGCTTGGGCTGGGGCGCTTAGATTTGTGTATACTAGGTCCCAAACTTTAAAGTGTGCTAGCTGCAATGCTTTCTCAATATGAAGTGTGCTAGCGGCAACGCTTTCTATACTACTAAAACCCAAAAATATTTCAGGTGTGCAAAGACATAACAAAAAGAAAAATTCTAGTATGCAGCTTTGAGATAAGAGTTATTGTGCAATGTATGTATAAAAGATGTAGAAAGTATACACAACAAACGTTGGTCCAAACATTTACGCAATAATACCACGAAACTTTTATGTGAACTTTGTTTATACTCTAAAATCGTTGCTTATGACTTCATATAACAATCGCAATAATTCCATAAAAAAGTCTTACATTTTGCACCTTTTCTTCGAGCTGTGAGCAAGAAGTCTTTGATCTCATGAATTTCTTTAGGCTTCGGTGAAAAGAAGACAGGGTCAACAAGTAACAGTAGCAAACTTGTAGAGGGGTGAAAACATAACTTACCATTTTGTTTGGCAGGCACAAAGAAGTTGGCCTAAAATGAAATGAAAGTGAATGAAAATGAACAAAGCAGCCAGGCCTTCTTTACTTGATCTATGAGCCCACAAAACTGGGGAATATTTACTGTAGCCGTACTTGGTGTGGGATCTACTTTTTTAACCGCTTTTCAAAATGGTGCAGCAAGCTAATTATTTTTTTATTAGTTAAATTTTGAAGCAACAGTAAAACTTGATTTCTTTAGAAATCATTTTTACCGTGAGTGAGCAGTGAACACACAGTTAGCCAGCACGTTGGCCATGCCACTCCTCATTGACCGAGTTAATGCTGAAACACAGAAGGCAGTCGCTTCAGTCGTGCGTCTAAAGCAAATAGATGCGCACGAGTCATTCGCTTGAACGCCAGAAACACACATGCAGCGACTATTAAACATGGCGGAGATTTCTGTTTGTTACAGATACAGACATCACTTAAACTTTTTATTTTGGCCTTTATTATAGTTACTAATAGATGAATATTTACTCAGTACAAACTTCTATGTGTAGAAAAGAGAACAAGCCAGTTAAAACACGCCAATATGATCATAGCCCATTATGCGTGTATCGTGGACAATCTTATTCTGTGCATTTAGGTTGTGCATTATGGTTCCAGTTTGTAGCTCCTACTGTGCCTATTTGATAAGTCATATAAAAACTGAAAGATTCCAGTGTTAACTCACTGTATATTGCCCTCGTTTTCCAAGGCATAATCTATAAATTCGTGAGTCATATTCATTTCTGTGCTCCATCCCCTAAATCAACAACTGGGAGGGCTTCCCCACGCCACTGGCCATTATAATGTGTAAAGAAGCTTTTGCGTAGAAATATCGGTGAGACAAACTCAAATTTACAAAATAGGAAATCGATCGTAAGGCATATCGTCTTCACGTAGTCAGTAATATTTCTTACAATTTACATTAAACAAATCAACCCATTCTTACTTTAACGTCTTTGTCTTTTTCAGGTTTAATGATGGTGTCTAATTTTGGTCTTTAGTGCAAGAAATAAAAATATAATATAGAAAATACAAACGTGACTATACCCGAATTCATATTAGGTTCTTGATTAGTACTAAATACATAAATGATTTTGACAGTAGGAAAGAGAAATGAAAAAAGTTTGTGAAAATGTCTGGTTTATAACTGTGTAAAACATTTAAAATAATTTATTAGCTCATTCGCTGTATCAGAGAAAATCATGAACTAGGAATTATGTGCAAGGCCTTTCAACGTCTTCAGTGTTGAACAAAGTATTATGTCTGCGTTTAAAGGAAGGCTTTAAAAATTAAGTGATCCTAATTGTCAAAGATTATTGTTGCTTGCTCTGCAGTGTTGATTCTGAAGGACGCATTTTGACGTACTACTCAGTCTTTTAAATGAGAGATATTTGTTAACTTTGATGTAAAAAAAGCTAAATAGAGCCTTGTATGGAAAAAACAAGACTTTGGATAAATCAATAGACTAATATTCAATAGTTTATTTATTCAACATCTATACTGAAGTAAGAAATCTTGAAGCAGATTTTGAGCTCTATACGGCTACAGGTGCAGTAAGTGACAAAATCTTCGTTTGGGTGTTTGAATGTGAAAACAACTAAATGATCATGAACTGAGACTCAGAAAAAAGTGTTTTAAATTGCGGATATGATTAAGTTTCAAATATTCTTGTCAGGGAACTAGGGTCAGTAGCGGATTACTAAATACTGGGCCTGTAGGCTAAGACAAAGTCGTCGGCCTTTAAGCGATATCTATTCTCTCATCCAGTTCAGCTTTTTTTTGCTTTTTCACTTCGTGTTTGTAACCCCCTAGGGCAAAAAATGGGTTAAAGTTTATTTTAAATTTCAAACAAAATTTCAAAAATCATTGACATGGTCAGGGAAAAGGAGAAAGCCATGCAATATTACATGAGTTCTGAGCATTGTGCATTTGATCAGTAGATTGTACTGAAGCCATTTTCTCTATGCATTCAATTGCTCCTATGAAATTTCATCAGCATTAAGCCTCATTTAGCTGGCCTGGACTAACAAAAACGTCCAAATCCTAATAATGTCTAGATAAACGGGCTTCTCGAAAGCCCAGGCCTGTAGGCTTAAGCCTTCTTACCATATTGGATAATTCCCCCTGACTAGGGTGTAGTTTTGATGGGGTTGGGCGATAAAACTTTAACTCTGCAGTTTGTGTTGACTCTTTAGATAAAATGCTCATTTACAGTTTCAGATTTAAAGATAACTTATTGAATAGAAAACTGAAAAATTACTTAAGCACTCCATACAATGCAACAAATTTTTTGCTGACATTAAACCTTTTACAATGGAAAAGATTAAAAAATATGTAATTACAGCGTTTTCAAAATGAGGGAACTAGATGCATAAAACACTGATATAAGAGTTTTTGCTACTTTCTTTTCAAACTTTCTGTTCTAATATCGGTTATGCCATAATTACATCAATGCTGACGGAATGCATATCAATTAAGAAAAAAATGCTACAACCTATGTTATATTTGTAATTATATACTTATGACGGGACACACGCAACACAAACTCACACAAATTATTAAACGCTACTGTACTGACAATGAGGTCAAATTTATATTTACCCCCTTCAAGGTAAAATCTTATTTCTTGTTTTCAAATCCACTTCCTGAACTTTGTAAATCTTTGGTAGTTTATCAATTAAAAAATACTGAAAAAATTAGAAACGCATGCAAAGTTTGCCTTGTGATCGTAATTATTATCTTTTATTTAAACGGAATAAATTTCAAATGTAGAAAATACGATCATAAAAGATCACTCTGCATGTATTTTTCAACTATGTCTTTGTTTTATCCTCATTTTGACAACTTATTATAAACACTTTGGGAAAACTTCTTGCATTCGCATCAGTAATAGAATTAAAAATTCTATTAAAACCATTCATTTCTATATTCCAAAACATAGCGCCGTAGTTGTCGTCGTCGTTAACACACCTATCTAACATAAAAACACTTTTGTTGAATATGGAAAACAATGTCCCTATTTGATAATCACTTAGTCCCTCAGATATATTAAAAACACTCGCAAAAGCTTCACGATCCCGGGAAGGGCAAACTTTGTGAACAACAAATTTTGCTCGAATCTCATTACTTATGTCGATGATATGCCTCATCCAAATGACATCTTCAATAAAATAGAATCTCGCATAAAAATGCCCCATTGAACGTTGAAATCTTCAAAAAAATTTTTTACTGGAGATGTGACCCCATGTTCACCCAACACGAAATCTATTATGGTGATGTTAAAAGGAACCTAAAATAAATAAGAAATTAAAAAACGTCAGCAGAAAATGAGGTAAAGAGAGAAATTTCATTAAAGAGGACGATAATTATGATAAACAGAAAAATTCAAATTGGTTAAACTTTAAATACTTCCATGTGATGCAAAGTACAAATGAAGACTTCGCACTCTTTCCTTTTATGAGATTTGTTATAAATCAGTTGAAGACGGAATTTATCCTCAAATTGTACACCAAATATGTAGTTAACCATGGTATTTGCAAAATCAGCTCTTCTACTAAGGTTAGCCTTAATGGAAACCATTAAAATAGCTTTATGTGGCTTGCTCACATTGTTTAAAAAATATTCTTTATTGTTGAGATTCACTTCGAACCTGCAAATCATTTTATCATCTCGATATTGGAAAACACGACTCAAAGGAAGACCATATATTGCAGGTGCACTATTTCCTGAAGGCTTTAGGAGTTTGCAGAAGGGAAGTATTCTATTGCTTTCAACTCCATATGAGAAAGTTGTCACTGATAAAACTTCACTGCACTCACTTATCGGAATTGTATTAAGAGCACAAACTTTTATGTGATAGGTGGTTGCTGGTTCAAGATTTGAAAGAACAACTGTTGGTTTGTTTGTACCATTCCATTGTTGTTCGATGTGTGGCCACGTATCTAAGCTTTTGTTATTGGTATAGAAGATTTTGTAACTTTTTGCAAACTCTATGTTCGTTTTTTTCTCATCCCAAGAAATTTTTAAGGAGTTCGGGCTTGTTTTTAGGACTTCCAGGTTTTTCGGCTTCAAACTAGAGCTCAAATTATTGTTTACAAGCTTACCATTTGCATACAGCGAAACAAAAGCACCAGTTTCACCATGGGTACCCAAAGGTAAAGATTCTTCTATAACAAGAAATTTGATATCATCATTTTTTTCATGAAATGACTTTAAATTTTGAGAGATTTGTCTGGCATCACGGATTTGCTTTCGCTCCCAAATCTGGCCTATTTTAACATTTTCATTTTCTATTGAAGGATAGTTTTTATTTTGGTAAGCATCCATGCTAATTAAATGGTGATCTTCTACCCAAGAAGTCTTGAGAGTAAAGGAAACGATATATTTAATTTTGGCATCCATCAAGAGATCGTTGATATTATCCAGACTGCCATAAGAGGTTTCGTCAAACAAATCTAATATATGTTGCAATTGTTTTACTTCATTCTTTCTATCTTCCAGCCACGCTTATAAGGATCGACAAGAGAAAGGAGACTGTTCTTTTTCTTTTATAAGCGAAGCAAGCTCTTGCTCTTTATTGCTGTCTCCTCTTACCTTAGGAAGAACTGACAGCAATTTTTCTTCAAAACTGGATCTGTAGTGCTCAACATTTCCAAGAAATTTAGTTATCTGCTTCTTCAATTGTGGAAAGTTACAACAGATATTGTTATGAAGAAGATCATTACATTCTTCTGTTAAGAATATTAAATTTTGAAGTAATTTAGACGTTTGAGTTATCAAATTTGCGCTTATTCCACTTGCTATTTTCTGAAAACCTTTATCCATCTTATTCAGGGGGTATAAATATACTTTAATCGGATCTGCCTTCTCTCCTTTTTCGCCAATGAGCGAGGGTAATTCTTTGTAGACTTTAATAGCTTCCTCGAAGTTAGTTGGACTCTTGTTCAGACGAAAGTCTCCATACATCTTGCATCTCATACTCTCTTTATATCTCCTTTGTTCTTCAGTAATATCAACCGAGCCATGACCACCAATCTCTACTCCTGGTAGAGATTTTACTAAAACCTTCATATTTCCATTCACTTTCTCTACAGATTCATCCTCTGACACTTCATTTTCAAACACAAAGAAAGCCTTCGCACCGTACAAAATGCCAACCACAACATCAGTAGCTTCAACTGTATCAAATACATCAGGATAGTCAGTTTGGTCTTTACCAAGATGCTCCATCGTCAGTTGCTTTATTTCTGTAGTTGTTTCATAGTGTAACACCACACTGGAATGTCGCTTGGACGTCTTTGCATCGCTCAAATATTTAGCAGAACCTTCTACATTCACCAACCCTGTCAGAAAACTAAGCTTAAGACCTGCTTCTATTTTGAGGGCACTTGTTTTGTCATCGATCGAATTTTCTACAAAGACGTTATAATTTGTATATGGTTTAGGATGGATGCTAATAGATTCGCTTAAATGTTTATGTGACCATAAAGTCTTTCCCATTACCAGTTTCTCGGAACGGCGATCATAAAGCATTCCCAACTGGAATGGGCGGCCAAGGGCAGGTATTTGGTCTTTCGCCCTCATACTAAAACAGAAAATAGCACTATTTTAGATATAAATGTGTTTACTGTGTTTGCACAGGTGTATGCAAACTGAGTAGACCTTTAGGAGAACTCGAGAGCTGATCAATGGAATCCCAAGACCGAAGGTCGAGGGTTGCACCTTCTCAAGATTCTCATAAACGTCTCAGAAGATTGCATAAGCTAGTGCAAACATGAAAACATCTTTATATTTCATTTATAAAATAACAAAAATGCGAAGCAAACAAAATGTTTTAATATTCTTCTGACGCGTATTCATGATTGATTTGCAAATTCTCTTTGATTGATTGATTGAGCTCACATTGTTTTGCACAGGCTAATGCAAACACAGCTCTAGACCAATCAGCGCACGTGTTTCATTGTGTTTATTTAATAATCATTGTTGCTATTCACAATGTAAGCATTATCAGCTCTGATTGGTAAACTACATTAAGATAATTCTTCATATCGGCAATTATAACGTCATATGTACACATAATAGTTTCTACAATTATGGATGCCATTAAAAGCCGGTTTTAAAACAAATCAAATAACAGCAATGTTAACAACAGTTTCTAAAAACGATTTCAAAGCTTTTAAACGAGAAGGTTGCGAAAAGCAATAAAGAGTGGCAAAGCTGGTTTCGAACACATTTGCAACATATTTAAACGAGACGAGCCTGAATAAACCGTCTGGAAAAAACAGATTATCGAAGGTTTGAAAAATTTTTATATTGATATGTTTTAATAATGCTATATAAAACAATTGTTGAAATTTTTTTGCATAATGTCAAAAATTATTCAGACCTCGGTCAATGTTGTCCGCATCAGTTTCACTTTAGCGGTTAACATTGATCTCAGTCTTAATAATTCTTCATATCATTTTCAACCTCATCCAATAATTACTTAATATGCTCGTTTTAAATTTATAATAAATTATGCACTGTTGGTTTGTATTGCACTGTGCATACATTTGTTAAAATATAAAAATCAAAGAAAGGCGGAAATATTTGTAAAAGGAGAGGAGCAACATTTTTGGGAGTTATTTCGGGCTACTTGAGTCAGAAGCTTAAGTTGCGTTTGCGTGCTACATTACTTAACATTTTTCAGCCACAACTTCTTTCCAATCACATTTTATTTGGTTTATCATCGATGTAGATCTGGTTTATTATTGAAATTTTGGAGTGGTGCAATATAAAGAAACAATTAAATAATAGGAAGTTGTCTTGGGCCGTAAATTTCATATTTCCACGAACAAAATCAACGGCAATGTAATCTTGAAGGGACTACATGCTATTTAGTCACACCCAACAGTAAAACGATAAAAGGAAGATTTTGATTGGTTGAAGGCTTTGTGTCAGTCACGGGTAATTTGTAAAATTTTGCGACTTGGCCTGAAAATTCAAACTTGCACTTTAATAAGCTTGCGCTTACTTTTAGTAGCCCAAGTACTATTTTTCTAATTTATACGCAACTAGCAAATATACCTAGCTATATTTCTTGTAAAAGTATCAGCATTGTCTTATGCATTTCAAATGGTGGCATGTTAAAATCATGATATGCATATTAACTAAGATTTTCGATTTTCAAGCGAGAGTAAAACTGAGTCCATTGAACGTAGAAAATGAGTTCGTAACATTTTTAGGTCGTTTTGCATGGTTGGTTTGTAGATGAGTTGGCAAAATTAAACGGTTTTGTCAGTGTTTTCAAAAATTACATTTAAAGAATTAAAATGCATGCCTGTAATTTACACTTCATGACAGATTTCTTGTCAAATAGATATTTCGCGACTGACAACATGTAATAAGACTTTTTCCTCAATCGCTATGACGAGAATTTACTCAAGTATTCTTTCGACGCAATCAAGTAAGTCTACATACAGTCTTTATTGTCAAAGCTCTTTGTCGGCATACAAAATCATTGTTAAAGTGTTCTTCAAACATACCTTGCTATGATTATAGTCAACTTGCAGAATATATCAGAACGTTTACCTCAGGAAATTTACTTCCTTTTCTCACAATGAACTGCCTGTTAATTAAGAAAAGTAATAAACGTTCACAATAATATCCCCTGAAATGACGTTTGCCACGCAAAATATACATTAAACATGTCAGGCAACGTGTGCATTAGTAAAAAACGTTTCATACAAACTTTCGTACCACAAATAAATCAATTTTTTTTAGGAATATTTTTGCTTCAATGACTCAATATACAGAACTTTAATTTACTTTATTTAGAATAGTAAGGCTTGGTGATATATATCTATCAGTTATAAATTTAGCTTAGCTTCATTAACTATTAATGACTTTACTTGGAGTGATAATTTATGCCATTATCTTGTTCTTTTAACTAACTCAATTCAACTTCAAATTGCCACAAGCAGTTTGAAGTCGAATGGAGTAAATTAAAAGAACAAGTACAGCCGCTACAAGGGCCATTTAATATTTTAATTTTGACATGCTATACACAATTGTTGAATTTTCGTATTTCTTAACATGCAAAAAAGTTTTTAGTTACAGCTTCAGTTTTTTATTTCATTGATAGATTTAATTTTCCCTGTCAAGATTTTCTGTTAATAAAAACGATTTTCAGTTTTAACTAGAAAGAACGTTGAAGAATATTCCCTCAATTAGGTACATGTTCTTTGTACAGAAGCTTAATTATAATATAACTTTAATAACATATGCAAAACGCGTGCTCTGATTGGCAAATCCTAAAATTAAATTTAACATTTACTAAACGGTTTCTGTGTTTGGATCGCCTGATCCAAACCACAATATAGAGATCTACAGTAGGTCCCTATCGTGTGCAAATGGCTGCTGTGTATTTAATTAGAGTACGGGCTGCCTTTAGCCATTTCATTATTCCGATTGGTCAAAAAAAGCATATGACTGGCTACTACCATGATAATTACATGCGTAATGAGATATGCGTGGCACAAAAAATTCACTGGAGTGGTTCTACTGCATATTCACTATACTGAGATCCAAATACGCGGGATTTAAGTTAGAGCAAAGAAAAGCGCGCTGTTCACCGCTATTTTTAACCCGAGCAACAACCCCAAGAGTTTGGATCAGGCCTTCTAAACGTATGAAACCGTTCAGTAAATGTTTTACATAATGATAACCAGAGAGTAATGTAGTAAACTTCATTTAAGCAAACGAAAATATGAAAGCTAAATTCGCCCAAGAGAACGAAGCCGTAAACTTGGTAAAGAACGAAGTGAAAACTTCAATTACGTAGATAAAAACATAACTGCATTCGTCAGTTTCATTATGAGGAAAAATCAAACTGAGCAAACACCAACAACAATGATCTTAGCAATCCACGTCTCGATAAAATAAAGATTTCTTTTACATAATTAATTTTATACATTAACATATAGCTATTATATGTAAAGGATGTTTCAGAAGCACCATACTCATTTTCCTCCAATTTCTTGTTGTTAAAATTTACAAATTTATCGATAGGCGACATGCAAAACCGTATTAAATAGAAATTCACGCCCCCAAAGATTTCGCATGAATTCATACGCATTTGTTATGGCAAGGTAAATCATTGTCTCCCGCAATATTTTGAAGTCTTTTTGATAAACTGTTTCGATAAAATGAATTTTCAGTAACGTGGCTAAGTTATAAATAAACACGTAAGAATAAAAACTCCTGTTGTATCACGTTTTCACTCAATGTTCATTTGCCTTAAAAGCACAACAAAAACGGGGAAGTTTAAAAATTGCCAACAGAAACAAAGAGCATTTTGTCTTCGCCCAATGAAATCTCTACTTTAGTCAAATGTCATGAAGAAGTTAAGGAACATTTACATAAGAAAGGTGAATGACAAAAAGTTGCTGAAGGAAACATACACAAAAGCCATGATGAAAACATATCTGCATTCGTAAGTTTCATTCAAACAAAGTTTCCTTTCAAACAGTCAACCAGGCAAGAAAAAGAAATTTGGTGAAGTTGAAAAATCATAGGCAAATAATGCATCTAGCATTTATTTTGGTCACATCATTTTTTCTGATCATTTGCGTCAAAGCACAGACCAAGTGAAGCACAGCTTAAGTACAAATGATGAGTATATGAATGTGTAAGAATATTTAAATAATGATGGAGAAATACGAACAAAACTCATCTCTATTATCTTTTCGATTTATTTTATGTTGCTTTTTTATAACTACCTAAATTGGTAGAGATACAACCCTTTCGATCTTCCAGTAAACATTTAAACATATGCACAAGCTACGAAGCGTTTTTTGTATTTTAACTGTTTCATTCAACCATCTTTAATCCACAAGACTTTTAAAGAATCAGAATTTACTACCGCAAAATCGAAGTGTCGTTGAAACGAGCATTGTCTGATTTTTGTAGGAATCAAATTATCATATGTATACAAAATGTTGGCCAAATCAGTATCAAACATACAGAGTTGCTCTTCAGCTTTGTGACAGAGGATATTGGAGGACTTATGGTCATCGCAAAACAAACTACAGTCATCCAGCAGGTAATTAATTGGAGCAGGTTTTTAATTTCAAGCACAAGATATTTCAACCTTTGTTTTATTTCATATATCGATCACGATCGAAAACAGGAAAGTCTTGCAAAGATATTTTAACAAAAAATACATCAGCAATCTCTGGAGTCTACAAGATCCAAATCAAAAATAATAAGCCGTTCACAGTATATTGCGACATGGAGACACAGAGAGGAGGCTGGACACTAGTTTATAGCTACACTTTTACAAACTACAGAAGCTTTAAGTTGTCTAGCAATGCTGTAATCCCTAGACCTAACTGGCCTGCTAGTAGTGCAACAGTTCCAGTTTCGAAAACTCCTCCACTAAGCAAATCTTTATTTGGAGCAATAGATTGGAATCTTTGGAAGGAAATTGGAAGCGAGTTCATGGTGACGTCAAACATTAATCATTGGATTGTTTGTCAACCTGGAACTGGAAGTTTGGTGGCGAAAAAAAATGGAGTTATATCATGTCGAAATATAAAGAATGTTCCTTCTGCCTGTAAAAACAGGGCTCCTTCGTCCATCAGCTGATTTTCAACTGGCCCCGACTTTAAAGGCAGTAGCTTGTTTTACTTTTTCGAAGGCAGCACAACCACAAATTGGCCTACACACGATCCATGTTGCAGCAACCAAGGTAATCAAAAGAAAGGTGTTTCTGATCCTCAAGGAAACATTTATATTCGATAGATGTAACAAACTGTATTTATCATTATTTCAATCTCGTAAATTTGTTTCCTGTAAGCAGTATAATAAACGATAAGCGGAAACAAGTAGTCACAAAAATCAGCATATCATTAAATGTGTAGTTTACTTTTAAAACTGAATGAAACATATTCCAAGAAAGACATCTTGCTAACTCAAGATATAAGTTTTGCGGATACTCCACTTGAGATCATTTTCAAACTTTCATATAATAAAAATTAATGCCCAACATAAAGCTTTAATTAGAGCCATTGAGATAAACCAAAAGTTCTAAAAAGGTTATAAAAACAAATTTATTTGCAACTCATCCCGCCAACCTCCTAATAATATACTCAAAGACAATAGTCTTCACTTTGTAGCACAAAAAAAAAGCAATTAAATGTAATATCTACAAGCTTTTGTTTGGGGTTGCCCCCCACCCCCAAAAAAATAACCTTAATGGCGCCACTGCTACCTTTACATATGATAACACTGCACATATCTAAAAACACAAATTGATGATGAATATACTCGATTTTAATTTTGTTCGTGATAATCTTGTGAGCCTGCAATGTATTTGAGAGCAATAGTAGATACTTTCTACGTAACGGTAAATTAGATCCAAACTATAAACATGTGTTTGAACGGAAACCTTTGTACTTGGTAATTGATACTAAGGCCATGTCCACACGTATACGGATTTATAAAAATACAGAGATTTTTCCTCCGTTTCTGAAAAGATTTGCGTCCACACGTATAGCGTATTTGAATCGTTTTCGCCTGTCACAAGTATATTCAAAAACGGAGGAAATTCAATACTTGTAAGCACTGAGCATGCGTATTTACTTGTAATAAGAGATTCTTCAAGCTTTTGCAGCATCAAATTGCAATATGTATTACTTGGATTTATTAACGTCTCTTTTGTATCGTGGGGCGCTCTGCTGATTTTGGGAGTTTATAGAAAAATTAGAAAGGTATAAAGTCAAATGAAGGCTCCACCAATGGAAAAGGCAAAATCGAATGTTATATTTTGTGGCATTTTGTGATAGGGAAAGCATCTTCATAATATTCACCCGCTTTCTTTAATATTTATCACTGCAACATGCAAGTGATATCAAATTTGAAATTATTCCAATAAAATAGCAATGCACTTGTGACCCGCCATTTTAAAAAGTACTCGGACGACTCAATCATGAGACTGGACTCAATTATTGACGTTATCGTTGTCAAAAACCTATGTTTTCGTCCGTCCACACGTAAACACAAAACCGGCGTTTTCAGAGCTTTTTTCACCAATACTGTAAATATTCGCCAATAACCGCCTTGTATAAGCCCCAAAACGATCGTGACATTCGACTCACACCACAATAAAACGCACTCGATGTAAGCCGATATTTCTCCCCGTATATGAACTTTTCAATGTATAAAGGGTCTACACACTTATACAAGCCCAAAGGTTATAGCCGGACTATAGAAATATGTTTATGTTCTCGACATTGTGGCAAAAATAACATGTCAGTAAAAAGTGGCTAATGATCTCAAATGACGCACAAACTTCATGAAGAATACTTTATTGATTTTTTGTTCAAACTAATACATACAAAAACTAGTTCTTCAACTCTTTGACATCCAATCCTACAAAAATGAACGAGATATGACTTAGATCAGTGAATTAACCCGCAGGTCATATTTGTTTAGGAAACCTTTTGCAACTTCCTGAGAAAGATAACAATCCCTAAGAGGGGAAAGATTTCAAAGATGCATCATGCGTTAATCACATCGAAACGGCCATTTTCTGGATCGATAAAATGGCAAACTTCGTAATTGTAGTCAATGAAACTTAATGTAAAATTATAGATGATAATTAATGTAAAAGTCTTTAAAATCTTTATAGTCTTTATAATCAATGGTTTTTGCCAACTTTTCACATAAACTAGACGACGTAGTGACGGTATTGAATTCGGTTTGCTGCAGGCTCAAAAAGCAACGATGTAAACATAAACAAAAGCGTGCAATGCATCTTGGTTCATACACATTCTTTTAAGTATAACGAAAAACTTGCTATTAAAATTACAGTTTAACTGAAAACGTATGATGAAACCAAAATTTTTTGGTTTAGTACGATGTTTTCTTGAGTGTCAACATGTTGTTTATTTTCACTAACATTGTGAAAATTACAAGAAGTCAGAAATGTGAGTTTCTAACCATATTATTACACAGAAGTTTCGCAAAGACTGGAAACATTACGTTGCTTTTTGTTGTCGTGATGTTTAGGCACCCAAACACTTGAGGTGCGACTTCTAAAAACCGGGAAGAGGCTACGATTTGGGCAAGCTAATGAGTCATTAGTAACGACAGAGATTTGCAAGCCTGTTTACGTACACGACAGTTTCAAACTTTGTACAAAGTACAAACTTCTATATTTTTTTCAAACTTTATTCAAAATTCTATTTAAAGTTTATTGACAGCTAATGATATTTATTTTGATTAAAAGGCGTCAATGATATCTATTTGTTGATAAAAACGGAGAGCTTGTGTTTCTAGCAGAAAATTTGCAAATAAAGAGTGTTCTTTCATGAATTTTGTTTAAAAAATACGATTACAAACTTTGTGAAACAAGTCTTTACCATATTGCAGCTGTTTACTGTAATTTTTAAAAGCAAATTTAGCTTTAACTTATGCAACACGCAATCGCAGAAAATTATCGATACATCGGTAACTTTTTTTCGATAAATCGACATCAATTTTTTAAACACCGCAACACCCAAAGTTCAGGAAACCAAAAATTTCTCGGGTGCAAATGCCCCAGGACCCCAAGAATAATATGCCTTCTTTGTTTACGGCTAGCAACTATACCACTTAATTGATGGCTATGAGCCTTTGAGGATGTTAATTTACTCAACTAATTGATTTAAAACACAAAACCTGCACCTGATAATAAATTACAACAATGGCTTTGAAACATGTTACAAATTCAGGCAAGTTAACGACTGTCCCACAGTACTGGCCCACCCTCTCAAAAATATCGAAGCTCCAGTTTGCACATGATAGATTAAATAGACAAATTGTTAATGTTGAACAAGTCGACATGAATATTATAACGAAGCAATTGACATAATAATTTTAGAAATAATAAAAACTTGAAATTGGAGTTCATAAAATAGGACTTTGTCGTGGTGACAAATCTAAAAATCGTTTTAAAGATCGCAAATACCATGGTGAATGGTAAAAGTAATAAGTTAATAGTTCTTAAAAGAACTGTTTTATCGATCCTCCTGTACTATCCTCCTTTCTTTCAAAACAAACTAGGATGGTTTACATGGATTCATTTTAAGTAAACGCCTTTTTTCGCTAATGCTAAGATTAAGACCAACAACTGTCCCAAGGTCAAACGTGTTTTCTTTCGTATCAATAGAAATATTTCGATTCAATTCATTTTCAGAAAATTCTGAGATGCCTTCGCCTTCGTTACGTTCATTTGAATTGACAAAGCTGTCAAATTCAGGGCATTCACCAACAGAATCATTGCTTTTGTTTTATTTGAAAGTATGTTCATCTTGATCGTTTACATCTATCGACTCAGATTTTTCTTGTGCATGCACTTGTTTAAGGCCTTCACTTATGCTCGGCGTTTCTCTGAGTTTTAATTATAACGCCTCTGTTGTTTTTGACAAAATGAATGGTGGGTAATTTTGTATAGGTTTAAAGTAATCAAGCAAAACTCCCTCAAGTTTTGAAAATTCTTCTTGTCTTGCTTTCTTTAATCTTCGATACTCAGCACCCGACTTTTTTCTCTTCGTGGTGTTGAAAGAATTAGACATTGCAGTTCGTCTTTAACATTGCACCATGATCCATGATGAACATTAAATAATATTAAAATAGATTTCCCTACACAAATGGAATTATCAAATGAAATGTTTGTTTTGTGAATTACATCTCTATTGCCAGCAATAGAAGCTCAAAATGAGAGTTTTGCATTTTGACATATTAATGTTATTGGTCTTCAAATGTTGTTGTTTAAAAAATATCTTAATTTCAATTAAATATATGCTGTTATGCACATTCGATAACTGCGGATAAATGAATCTTGAACATTTACAAGAAGCTTTAAGTGATATAAAAAAGTTTTACCGTATAATAACTTGCTATACTAATGAAAATGACAAATGTGTTGTCGTAACGATAAAAATGTAAATAACACAATACGAACAATGCAGTACATGCTGCGATATCATTAAGTGCTACTTCATGTTAGACTATGCATTATGATAGCAATTTACCGACGACTCCACTACTGTCATTTTCAAAAAAATATATTATTACGCTCGGATTAATAATAAGATACAATGCCAGTAACGATTAATGTCTGTGAAGGAAGCAAAAAACATTGATTAAGATAGGCAAAAAATTACACTGATATAAGAGTTTTTGCTACTTTCTTCTCAAAATTTCTGTTCTAGTATCGGTTATGCCATAATTACATCAATGCTGACGGAATGCATAACGATTAGGAAAAATGCTGCAACCTACGTTATATTTGTGATTATATACTTATGACAGGACACACTCAACACAAACTCATACAAATTATTAAACGCTACTGTACTGACAATGAGGTCAAATTTATATTTACCCCTTTCAAGGTAAAATCTTATTTCTTGTTTCCAAATCCACTTTCTGAATTTGTAAATCTTTGGTAGTTTATCCATTAAAAAAATTCTGAAAAAATTAGAAACGCATGCAAAGCTTGCCTTGTGATCGTAATTATTATCTATTTTTACACGGAATAAATTTCAAATGTAGAAAATACGATCATAAAAGATCACTCTGCATGTATTTTTCAATCCTCATTTTGACAACTTATTATAAACTCTTTGTAAAAACCTCTTGCATTCGCATCATTAATAGACTCAAAGATTATATCAAAACCATTCATTTCTATATTCCAAAACATAGCGCCGTAGTTGTCATCGTCGTTAACACACCTATCTAACATAAAAACACTTTTGTTAAATATGGAAAACATAGTCCCTTTTTGATAATCCTCTACTTCCGCATAAAAATCTGTAGGATGCGTGTCAATTTCTTCATAAAATTGTGATAAAATATCAATTTTGTGAATCATGTCAATGCTATCCCTCATCCGAATGACATCTCCAATAAAATGGAATCCCGCATAAAGATGCCCCATTGAACGTTGGAATTCTTCAATAACAGTTTTCACAGAAGTTGGGACGCAAACTTCCCTGATCACAAAGTCTATTATGGTGATGTTAAAAGGAACCTAAATTAAATAAGAAATTAAACAACGTCAGCAGAAAATGAGATAAAGAGAGAAATTTCATTAAAGAGGACGATAAATTTTATAAACAGAAAAATTCAAATTGGTTAAACCTTAAATCCTTCCATGTGATGCAAAGTATAAACGAAGACTTCGTCATCTTTCCTGTCTTGAGATTCGTTATAAATCAGTTGAAGACGGAAATTTTCCTCAAATTGTATACCAAATATGTAGTTAACCATGGCATTTGCAAAATCAACTCTTCTTCTAAGATTAGCCTCAAAGGAAACCATTAAAATAGCTTTATGTGGCTTGCTCGCATTGTTTGAAAGACTTTCTTCATTGTTGAGATTCACTTCGAACTTGCGAATCATTTGATCTTGATCTTGGGAAACAAGACTCAAAGGAAGACCATATACTGCAGGTGCTCTGTTTTCTGAAGGCTTTAGGAGTTTACAGAAGCGAAGTATTCTGTCGTATTCAAGTCGATGTAAGGAAGTTGTCACTGATAAAACTTCACTGCACTCACTGATCGGAATTTTATTAAGAGCACAAACTTTTATGTGATAGGTGGTTGCTGGTTCAAGATTTGAAAGAACAACTGTTGGTTTGTTCGTACCATTCCATTCTTGTTCGATGTGTGGCCACGTATCTAAGTTTTTGTCATCGGTATAGAAGATTTTGTAACTTTTTGCAAACTCTATGTTTGTTTTTTCCTCATCCCAAGTAATGTTTAAGGAGTTCTGGCTTGTTTCTAGGACTTCCAGGTTTTTCGGCTTTGAACCAGAGCTCAAATTATTGTTTACAAGCTCACCATTTACATACAGAGAAACAAAAGCACCACTTTTACCATGGCCACGCAAATGTAAAGATTCTTCTATAACAAGAAATTTGATATCATCATTTTTTTCATTAAACGACTTTAAATTTTTAAAGATTTGTATAGCATCACGGATTTTCTTTGGCACACAAATCTGGCCTATCTTAACATTGTCATTTTCCATTAAAGTATAGTTTTTACTTTGGTAAGCATCCATGCTACGTAGTTGGTGATCTTCTACCCAAGAAGTCTTGAGAGTAAAGGAAACGATGTATTTAACTGTGGGATCAATCAATAGATCGTTGATATTTTCCAGACTGCCATAAGAGGTTTCCTCAAACATATCTAATATATTTTGAAATCGTTTTACTTCATTCTTTCTATCTTCCAACCACGCTTTTAAGGATTGACAAGAGAAAGGAGATTCTTCTTTTTCTTTTATAAGCGAAGCAAGTTCTTGCATTTTTTTGCTGTCTCCTCTTACCTTGGGAAGAAGTGACAGCAATTCTTCTTCAAAAGTGGATCTGTAGTGCTCAACATTTCCAAGAAATTTATTAATCTGCTTCTTTAATTGTGGAAAGCTACAACAGATATTGTTATGAAGAAGATCATTACATTCTTCTTTTAGGAATATAAAATTTTTAAGTAATTCAGACGTTTGAGTTATCAAATTTGCGCTTATTCCACTTGCTATTTTCTTAAAACCTTTATCAATCTTACTCAGTGGGTATAAGTATACTTGAATCGGGACTGCATTCTCTCCTTTTTCGCCAATGAGCGACGGTAATTCTTTGTAGACTTTAATAGCTTCCTCGAAGTTAGTTGGACTCTTGTTCAGTCGAAAGTCTCCATACATCTTGCATCTCATACTCTCTTTGTATTTCTTTTCTTCTTTAGTGATATCAACCATGCCATGACCACCAATCCCTACTCCTGGTAGAGATTGTACTAAAACCTTCATTTTTCCACTCACTTCCTTTACGGATTCATCCTCTGACACTTCATTTTCAAACACAAAGAAAGCCTTCGCACCGTAGACTATACCAACCACAACATCAGTAGCATCAACTGTATTAAATACATTGTGATAGTCAGTTTGGTCTTTACCAAGATGCTCCATCGTCAGCTGTTTTACTTCTGTAGTTGTTTCATAGTGTAACACCACACGGGAATATCGCTTGGACGTCTTTGCATCGCTCAAATATTTAGCAGAACCTTCTACATTCACCAACCCTGTCAGAAAACTAAGCTTAAGACCTGCTTCTATGTTTAGGGCACTTGTTTTGTCATCGATCGAATTTTCTACAAAGACGTCATTATTTGTATATGGTTTAGGATGGATGCTAAGAGATTCGTTTAAATGTTTATGTGACCATAAAGTCCTTCCCATCACCAATTTCTCAGAACGGCGATCATAAAGCATTCCCAACTGGAATGGGCGGCCAAGGGCAGGTATTTCGTTTTTCGCCATCAGTCTGAAAGAGAAGATAGCACTATTTAAGTAATAAATTATGTTTACTGTGTTTGCACAGCGTATGCAACCTGAGGACACCTTTAGGAGAACTCGAGAGCTGATCAATGCAATCCCAAGACCGAAGGTCGAGGATGGTACGTTCAAGATTTTCACAAACGTTTCAGAGGATTGCCTAAGCCAGTGCAAACGTAAAAACATCTTATATTTCATTTATAAAATAACAATAATGCGAAACAAACAAAACGTTTTAATTTTCTTCTAACGTGTATTCATGATTGATTTAGAAATTCTCTTTGATAAGTTGATTAGGCTCACATTGTTTTGCACAGGCTACTGCAAACACATCTCTAGACCAATCAGCGCACGCGTTTCATTGTGTTTATGTCATTACAACTGTTGTTATTCACAATGTAAGCATTGTCAGCTCATGTTGGTCAACAACATGCTTGACCCACAGTTTCTACTTTACCACAGCTTCTAAAAACGATTTCAAAGTTTTAAACGAAAAGGTTGCGAAAAGCAATAAAGAGCGGCGAAGCAGGTTTCGAACACATTTGCAACATATTTAAGCGAGACGAGCCTGAATAAACCGTCTGGAAAAAACGAATTATCGAAGGTTTAAAAAATGTTTTATATTGATATTTTTTGTATAATACTTCAGTGAATATATAAAAAATTGTTGAATTTTTTTTTGCATAATGTCAAGAATTATTCAGACCTCGGTCAATGGTATCCGAATCAGATTCGCTTCAGCAGTTAACATTGATCTCAGTCTAAATAATTCTTCATATCATTCTCAACCTCGTCCAATAATTACTTAATATGGTCGTTTTAAATTTATAATAAATTATGCACTGTTGGCTTGTATTGCACTATGCATACATTTGTTAAAATAAAAAAATCAAAGAAAGCCGGAAATATTTGTAAAAGGGGAGGAGCAACATTTTTGGGAGTTATTTCGCGCTACTTGAGTCAGAAGTTTAAGTTGCATTTGCGTGCTATATTACTTAACATTTATCAGCCACAACTTCTTTTCAATCACATTTTATTTGGTTTATTCATTGTTGTAGATCTGCTGTAAAAATACCTGGTTATTGAAATTGTGGAGTGGTGTAATTTAAAGAAACAATTAAGTAATAGGAAATTGTGTTGGGTCGTAAATTTCATATTTCTACGACAAAATCAACGGCAACATAATCTTAAAGTGACTAAATGCTATTTAGTCACACTCAACAGTAAAACGATACAAGGAAGGTTTTGATCGGTTCAAGGCTTAAAGTCAGGCACGTGTAATTTGTATAATTTTGCGACTTGGCCTGAAAATTCAAACTTGCACCTAAATAAGCTTGAGTTTACCTTTAGTAGCCCAAGTACTATTTCTCTAATTTATACGCAACTATCAAATATACGCAACTAGCTATATTTCTTGTAAAAACACCTTGACAATATGCACAGTGAAAAAGAAAAAATACAACGAGAAAATTTTTGCAATGGATTGCCCTCGTGGTATAACCACAAATGATCAAATAGAAAATTGTCTATTACTCATTGGATTGGTGTTGTAAATTGTCATGTTATGTTATGTAGTGTGTGACTGTGTCATATTTTTGATACTAAGATATAACGGATATTAAACTGATGTAAAATAGTATAGTCATGGTGAGCGAACACTTCCTCACCGCAATGCGTCATTGCGGTAGGATGTAGGTATAAACGGAATGGCGTAATTGCAAATCATGCAAACGCCTAAAAACCACTTCCGAATAATTATACATAAATATAGCTTGCAAGCGTTGGTTCGGGAGTTCGGAAAAGTTGTAGTTATTGGTGTATGAACTGGTCATACAAATTTGATGAATTAGAGTTGTATTGCAGAAGGCAGTAAATTTCGAAAACGCAGTTGTAGGATTGACGGTCGTCCGTAATCTTAACGAGGTCAAATTTAATCATTCCGTATCGCGAAGAACCAACGCTTGGAACGTAAAATCGTGCACAACACTGTAAATATCTTATTGAAGTGTTAAAATTATGTATTCAAAATACAGTCCCATTGTTTGTGTGAAGTTTTAGAACAGTGAACCAGCACTTCGCGCACATTGTGCGAAAATTGGATCTCATAACTACATTCAGTGAAGGCCCTCGAAAAGAGTTTTTGGATACTAAATTTACAGGAAGTTATCTCTATTTTTTTGTAAATTGATCATGACGAACAAAATGGCATACGTGCGAACTCATCAATCTGAGAAGAAAGTCAATCGAGACCACCGCGAAAGAGAAGTGCCGACATAGTTCAACTTTAAAAAACAAAAAGAGCTTTTGAAGTGCTAAGTGACGAATGGGTATTCAACTAATCAAACAAAGGAATGGGAAATCTTAAGTGATAAAAGCCTGAATCAGTAAGGAATATGCTTGTATTTAGCCTTTTATGAATATTGTTTTATGGCAAGACAAATGGTGGCATGTCAAAATCATAATATGCTTGTTAACTAAGATTTCTACTTTTTATTCGAGAGCAAAACTGAGTCGCATCATTCCTTTATACCCATTTATAGATTTATGTTTAAAAACTATTATTTCTTAACAAGAAAAGACGATCATCAATACAGCATTTGTTTATCAATAGCTTTATTTTTCAACAAAAAAAAACAACATTGCAATATGCAAAGGAACATATGTTTTAGTAGGTAACATTTATAGATAATTTTTCCTATTACTTAAACGTAGAAAAGGGAATTTGTAACATTTTTTGGTCGTTTTGCATGGTTGGTTTGTATGATGAGTTGGCAAAATTGAACGTTTTGTCAGTGTTTTCACAAATTACATTTAAAGAATTAAAATGCAGGCCTGTATTTTACACTTCATGAAAGATTTCTTGTCAAATAGATATTTCGCAGCTGAAAAAATGTAATAAGACTTTTCGCTCAATCGCTATGACGATAATTTACTCAACTATTCTTTCGACGCTATCAACTTAGTTTGCATACAGTCTTTTTGTCAAAGATTTTTGTCGGCATACAAAAACATTGTTAAAGTGTTCTTTAAACATACCTTGCTATGATTTCAGTCAACAGTTCAACAATACAATCTGAATTTTGTTTTTAGATTTTCCAAACTGCTGTAATATTTAGAAACCAAAATATGTTATATTTTCCAAGTTAGGAGCAACGTCATAGATATAATAATTACGTGTATACAAAATATTTGCTTATTATTGGTTTTTAAAGAACAAAATTAACATCACAATTGTGACGTTTGAACACGTGATGGCAGACGTTATCTGTAAAACAACAAATGGGTAATCGGGGAATGGAAAACCTTGAGTGATAAAATCCTAAATCTGTACGGAATATGTTTGTATTTAGCCTTTTATTAGTATTGTCTTATCGCATTACAAATGGTGGCATGTCAAAGTCATAATATGCATGTTAACTAAGATTTTCGATTTTCATACGAGAGCAAAACTGTGTCCATTCATTCTTTTATAGCTATCTATACATTAATGTTTAAAGAACTGTTAATTGTCAACAAGGAACGAGGAGTATCAATACAGCATTTGTTTACCAATAGCTTTAATTATCAACAAAGAACAATATTTCAAGGGCAAAGGAATGCAGTGGCGTAGCTAGCGAAAAACATTTGGTCGGGCTCACGAGGCGCCACCATGGTTGGCGCCGAGCGAGAAAATTTTCCGAATTTAGACTCCCTAGAACGTCGGAAACGGCAATCTTAGAAAGCAAATGCGTGATATTTATGCAGGAAATAGAACCATTTTGGTTAATTTAAATTGCCGAAGGATCTTATAGTAAAGCAGAGAAACAGTTCAAAAATAGTTGCAGATATGTGATTTATTTTCTCAACACCACATACATAAATAGATACCTATGTACATCTTGTAAAGAAACTTTGACAAAAGAACCGAAAAAGGCTCAGATTTGTCATCAACAACTATCAAAAGTTGTGATGAAATTGTCGTGCTGAAATGACAATCATCATTGACTGCATTAAAAAGTTCCCGGAAAAATTCTCACATGCCATGGACGTAAGACATCATCAGCTTGTTATCAGCCATATATGAATACCTATTTGTATAAGAAAGCAAGTCTTCGTGGTTTTTCAATGAACTTCTTTACTACCTCATCATGCAATGTGTTGGCGTCTTCTTTCTCTGACAGTATGTCTTTGTGAATGGAAATCCTGCAAAGAGAACTAAAACGTCCTTGGCTCAAAGTATTTCTAAGATAATTTTTACCCTCTTCAAACAAGAAAATGACCTCTCAACTGAAGCACTTGTAATTGACAAAACCCCATTTATCTTTAACTTCTGGAATACTAGATTGATAATGGAACTGAAAAATATATTTCAATAATTCATCGCATGAATCACAGTGAAAGTCTTTATCTCTGTAAATAAAACAAAGTTGGCTAACTAGCATTGGTATGTCAAACATATCACCATAAACCTCCTTTAGAAGATTTATCTTTTCTGAGGGCACTTCACCTTTCCACATCTTAAACACCCTAGGGTTAACAAGGTCAAAATCTAAAACGCTCCATATCCTGAAATCGCTCAGTCAGCATAGTCACAATTGTGTCAAGAATTTCAAAATACATTTGTTTGTAATTATGCCGTTGGTCATACCTGGTTACTGGTGGTCCCACTTTCTCAACAGCCAGGTCGTACACCTGACAATATTCTGTATCATTTCTCAGAGAAGCAACAAAGGCCTTGAATCTCTCAAACCTACTCATTCCATAATGAAAGTCAGTGTCCTTGTCTTGCAAGATAGAATAAAGTATGGATGACTGCTCAAGAATTCTCTGGAAACATGTACCAAGAAACAAAACAAGAAGCCATTAAGGTAGCCAAGTAAACCAGTAACCTTACTTAACGTTTCATCATCCCAACCTATTGGATTATCAGTAAGATTTTCAAATATGTCTATCAGTTTCTCATAGTTAGAATGCAAGACATTGATGACATGAGCCCTATAATACCATCTTGTGTCACCAGGACTAGGAAACTCAAGCCTATGGGATGATAGTAAAGCTTTTCTTTTGGGGGGAATTGCTAGTAAAGGTGCAGAAAGCACTAATATTAACAAAGAAAATCTTAACAGGTGAGATGGAGGATGCAGCTTGACATAATACTAGATTTAGTCTATGGGCAGCACAGTGAACAAATTGAGCATAAGGATAATCCTGCTGAACTTGAGCTTGAACACCATTGAGATGACCAGACATAACAGATGCACCATCATAAGTCTGTCCAATAAATTTCTCTTTCACATTATTATATTGACTTAACTTACCCTTAACCACTGATGATATAGCAGTTGCAGTCCTATCACAACTAACATCAACAAACCCAAGCTGTCTTTCAATGACACTTTCCCCTTTGTCCATTCGAACAATTACACTCAATTGTTCTTTGGTAGAAACATCAGTTGCCTCATCAACCTGTATACTTAAGAAAGTGCAGCAATATATTTCCTTTAAAATCTCATCCTCTATTATCTTATCAAGACAATCAATCAAATCATTCTGAATATCAGGAGAGACTCCAGTAAACCGCCCTCCCCCAGCAAGGTGGGTTTCAGCAAGCCTTCCATGTAATCGCCTTTCAAAAACAGAATCCATCTTGGCAAAACTTTCAAGTAGCTCTCTATAATTTCCTCTATTCATGCTGCTACTAGATTCATCATGCCCCCTAAATGCAAGCTCTTGCCTAGACAAGTATAAAACAGCTTCTGTTATGGTTTTCAACATTTCCCTGTTTTGCCTTACCTCCTCGTTATGACGCTGAATCTCTTCACGTCTAGTTTGTGACATGAGACAGTCGATACGAGGCTGAAAACCGTAGGTCTTCCAGGTCTTGTAGGCACCCATGTGCGATTTTGCCTTCTCATGCTTCTTACAATCGGATAGGAAATTCTTCATGTTTTTGAATCCCGTCTGCGTCCATGAAGATGACGATCCAGGGCAAAATAAAAGACAAGGCCAACAGAACAATGCATTCTTTTCTGAGCTACAACAAAGCCAATCTTTCTTCGAGTACCAACTTTCCTGAAAGCTTCTATTGCCTGTAGTCGCTTGTAAATTTGGAATTGGCCGCTGCTTTACGAGTATATTTTGCTCGCCTGATTGTCGAACAGAAAAGGGTTTCTTTTGTAGTTCACTTATTATATCGATTTCATTAGCCGAAGCCATTGTAATGTAAGTTATCACGATTTCCGAACGTATATTTCGAAAGCTCAAAATTCCAGTCACGCTTTTGAAAATGAACCCGACAAGATGTTGTTAAACGTTTGAGTGTGTTCACAGCTACCTCTCAACCAATCAGATTACAGATATTCCCACTATAGACTTTATCACTTGTATTGGTCGGGCTGAATTTTCAGAGCCCGACTAGATGTTGCGAAACAGCGCATTTGAGTTTGCTCAGTTGCTGTCAACCAATCAGATTGCAGATAATCCCACTATAGATTTTACTACTTGGTCGGGCTGAATTTTCAGAGCCCGACTAAACTGCGTAATGCCTGGCACCAGAAATGCACAAGTCATTGTTGCTAAGTAACGTTTAAAAATATGATAATTTTGCTAATAACGACGCAATTTGGCAAATATTACACTAAAAGACTGTGGATTATTCCAAAAAGAGTCGCAGAATTTAAAATTTTCGCAAATCCAATTTTAAAGAAAACAAATTTTTCATTTTTGGGAAAATATTTGGTCGGGCTGGGCCCGACCAGCCAGACCGCTAGCTACGCCACTGAACGAATGTAAGAAGCTTAGTATTGGGCAAATTTTGAGCGGCGCATTAAATTAATGAGAACTGATCTCAAGCCAATGTAAAATTTATAAATTATTCTTTTGATTTCTTGAACGTAGAAAATGAATTCGTAACAGGTTTAGGTCGTTTTGCATGGTTGGTTTGTATGATGAGTTGGCAAAAATTGAACGGTTTTGTCAGTGTTTAAATTACATTAAAAGAATTAAAATGCAGGCCTGTATTTTATACTTCATGAAAGATTTCTTGTCAAATAGATGTTTCGCGGCTGAAAAAATGTAATAAGATTTTTTGCTGAATCGCTATGACGATGATTTACTCAGGTATTCTTTCGACGCAAACAAGTAAGTTTACATACAGTCTTTATTGTCAAAGCTCTTTGTCGGCATACAAAAACATTGTTAAAGTGTTCTTCAAACATACCTTGCTATGATTATAGTCAACAGTTCAAGAATACAATCTAAATTTTGTTTTTAGGTTTTCCAAACTGCTGTAATATTTAGAAACCAAAATATGTTATCTTTTCCAAATTAGGAGCAACGCCTTAGATGTAATAATTGCGTGTAATCAAAATTATTGCTTATTATTGGTTTTTAAAGAACAAAATTAACATCACAATTGTGACGTTTGAACACGTGATGGTAGACGTTATCTGTAAAACAACAAATGGGTAATAGAGGAATGGAAAACCTTGAGTGATAAAAGCTTAAATCTGTAAGGAATATGTTTGTATTTAGCCTTTTATTAGTATTGTCTTTTGGCATTACAAATGGTGGCATGTCAAAGTCATAATATGCATATTAACTAAGATTTTCGATTTTCATACGAGAGCAAAACTGTGTCAATTCATTCTTTAATAGCTAGCTATACATTTATGTTTAAAGAACTGTTAATTGTCAACAAGGAACGACGATTATCAATACAGCATTTGTGTACTAATAGCTTTAATTATCAACAAAGAACAATATTGCAAGGGCAAACGAATTTAAGAAGCTTAGTATTGGGCAAATTTTGAGCGGCGCATTAAATTAATGAGAACTGATCTCAAGCCAATGTAAAATTTATGTATTATTCTTTTGATTTCTTGAACGTAGAAAATGAATTTGTAACGTTTTTAGGTCGTTTTGCATGGTTGGTTTGTATGATGAGTTGGCAAGATGAACGGTTTTGTCAGTTTTTTCAAAAATGACATTTAAAGAATTAAAATGCAGGCCTGTATTTTACACTTCATGACAGATTTCTTGTCAAATAGATATTTCGCTGGTGAAAAAAATAAAGTAAGACTTTTTGCTGAATCGCTATGACGATGATTTACTCAGGTATTCTTTCGACGCAAACAAGTAAGTTTACATACAGTCTTTATTGTCAAAGCTCTTTGTCGGCATACAAAAACATTGTTAAAGTGTTCTTCAAACATACCTTGCTATGATTATAGTCAACAGTTCAAGAATACAATCTAAATTTTGTTTTTAGGTTTTCCAAACTGCTGTAATATTTAGAAACCAAAATATGTTATCTTTTCCAAATTAGGAGCAACGCCTTAGATGTAATAATTGCGTGTAATCAAAATTATTGCTTATTATTGGTTTTTAAAGAACAAAATTAACATCACAATTGTGACGTTTGAACACGTGATGGTAGACGTTATCTGTAAAACAACAAATGGGTAATAGAGGAATGGAAAACCTTGAGTGATAAAAGCTTAAATCTGTAAGGAATATGTTTGTATTTAGCCTTTTATTAGTATTGTCTTTTGGCATTACAAATGGTGGCATGTCAAAGTCATAATATGCATATTAACTAAGATTTTCGATTTTCATACGAGAGCAAAACTGTGTCAATTCATTCTTTAATAGCTAGCTATACATTTATGTTTAAAGAACTGTTAATTGTCAACAAGGAACGACGATTATCAATACAGCATTTGTGTACTAATAGCTTTAATTATCAACAAAGAACAATATTGCAAGGGCAAACGAATTTAAGAAGCTTAGTATTGGGCAAATTTTGAGCGGCGCATTAAATTAATGAGAACTGATCTCAAGCCAATGTAAAATTTATGTATTATTCTTTTGATTTCTTGAACGTAGAAAATGAATTTGTAACGTTTTTAGGTCGTTTTGCATGGTTGGTTTGTATGATGAGTTGGCAAGATGAACGGTTTTGTCAGTTTTTTCAAAAATGACATTTAAAGAATTAAAATGCAGGCCTGTATTTTACACTTCATGACAGATTTCTTGTCAAATAGATATTTCGCTGGTGAAAAAAATAAAGTAAGACTTTTTGCTCAATCGCTATGACGATAATTTGCTCAAGTATTCTTTCGACGCAAACAAGTAAGTTTACATACAGTCTTTATTGTCAAAGCTCTTTGTCGGCATACAAAAACATTGTTAAAGTGTTCTTCAAACATACCTTGCTATGATTTCAGTCAACAGCTCAACAGTACAATCTGAATTTTGTTTTTAGGTTTTCTAAGCTTCTGTAATATTTAGAAACCAAAATATGTTATCTTTCCCAATTTAGGAGCAAAGCCTTAGATGTAATAATTGCGTGTAATCAAAATAATTGTATAGTATTGGTTTTTAAAGAACAAAATTAACATCACAATTGTGATGTTTGAACACGTGATGGTAGGCTTTATGTGTAGAACAACAAATGGGTAATCGGGGAATGAAAAACCTTTAGTGATGAAAGCCTAAATCAGGGGCGGATCTAGGCCATGGCGAAAGGGGCTTGAGCCACGGTCAGAATTTTGCCACTTAAGTTTTTCCAGGGTTGACTTTTCATGATTAAAAATTTTGCTCAAATACAGCAAAATCCGATCAAAAACAAAAATTGAATGAATTTTGTAATTTTTTGTCAAAAATTTGTGAAAAAAACAACAAAAACTTCAAATTAAACGTCTTGTTAAAATAGTATTATCATCCAGTTAAACTCTGAACTGTAAAATCACCGAAAGCGTCTCGAATCTTGCCGAATACGCCATGAATATGCTCGGAATATTTTCGTAAATTCGAGCCTGCAATCTCAGAATGAAAAGCTACGGTCAGCGTTCAAAAAATTTCGCAATAGTTGCTAAATATAGCAACCTTCAGCCACGGTGCAGCGTTGCAAGCCAATCACAGAGAACGTTTTGGTCATGTGCGCCCCGGTGAGGCACGGTGAATTTATTTTGATTGCGCAATAAATACAAGTCATATGCAATAGCTCGATTCTTGTCGACTTAAAAAAACGCCACTTCTAGTTCTACTCAGCGATTAGGATCGATGGAAACTTCTAAAAAGTTCGATGTTCTTGAAAAGCTCGTGCAAATCTTTCAGCAAGAGAACGCTCGCGAGATTATTGCTGGTGAATTGTCTAACTTGAGACAACACTGTGGTAAAATAATCAACAATGAAAGGCTTCGTCGTATAAATTCTACTGGCGATATTATGCTGCGAACTTGTTCATTTTCAAAACTGCTGTTCCCTGAAAGCCAAATTGAAAGATCAGGACCCAATGATGTCCCTGTTCGGTAAGAATTTACATGTATTGGGGTATTAATTTATGTTTTTATTTACGTTTGACATCTTGGCCTGAAATATATGATCAATCCGTTAATTTTCATCTATTCATATTTAGTGTATCATGTAAAGTATATGTCTAAAGCTGTCATTATTTTGCATACTCAGTCCGTCTAATGTACGGCCTAAGTAATTCTAATTGTTACTGTCTGTTAAAAAAATGTTTTACTTCAATATTAGTCAAAGCCAGTCCTTTTTAAAATTTAACCTAATCAATAATGTATTATCCTTGTGTTCCTGGCATTTTATGTTATCCCCTGATTAAAGAAATCAACATATAATTTATATAGAATATTGATGCTATAGTAGATGGATCAATTAGTCGTCTGAATCCTGTTCGACATGCCTAGACTAGTTCCAAATCTTAGACTACCTGCCTGTGACTTTGACTTTATCATGATGTTACCAAATTAACACAAAGAGAAAATAACTTTCTCAATTTCAATATTATTAGTCTATCTTTAACAGTATTGGTTACCCTTATTTATTCTAATGTCAGAGTCAGTCTAGCAGATTTGTTTCCAGGTGTAACTTGGTATAACAAAGCAGCCATTGATACTTAAATACTAATTTTTCTTTTAGTACTTTAGCCAATGGGAATTTTCTGTTCAATGCATGTCCTATTGAATTAGTTGGGAATGAGACTCTCTCTATTTACTTGAGATTCCTAACTAGTGTGGAAATGTTTGAGAATGCTAAATACTATTCTACCCATCCTCTCATCAAGTCCCAGCATAAAAATGGTGCGTTCACTTCACTTAAAAATGCCTTTGCCATGTGTATATCCAATGCAGCTCTAACCTCTTTACAAAATGCGAATGAATTTGCAGCAGTTTTACAAGAAGCAGTGGAAAGAGCGAATAATTACACATTTTTACCCTTGATGTGTATGTTTGCTTTGTCCACAGTAATCCAGTGTGCTATTCAGTCATAGTACCCAATTACTAATGATGCTGAAGTGAAAGGAAATTGGGATTTGTTGGCTAAAATGTTCAATTGTACAATATATCCAAGAGGTTTTGTTGATGGGAGTGCAATTGACTATGTCCATATCTTTTGTTGTGCTGCGATGCCACCTTCTTATTTGGTAGATCAAAAAATCCCATCCACCAAAAATCATTTTGTTACTTTGTTTTTAGAGGACCACCTTTGAACATTCCTTTTATTAATCTTGCCATCTTTACCATTGTTGGATAAACATCTTTGCTTCTGTTGGAAGAAGACCGCCTTTGAACATTGCTTTTATTAATCTTGCCATCTTTATGGCTGTTACAAAAGGCATCCTCGCTGCTTTTCGAAAAAGACCATATTTGATGGGGCAACAAAGATGGGGAATTATTTTTTTGTAGTGAACTGTCTTTTGGTTATTCACTGCAAAATAACATGCTTCATCTTTCTCTCACTCCTGTGGCAACAATCCTGTGATTACAGAAAGGTACGGAAACTGCGTTGATTTTACATCAGACACCACAAGGTAAGTAAAATTTTTATTCTTCTGTCCGAACATGGCGATATTAGAATTTTTTTTAGATGAGATTATAACTAAAATATTGTTATATTCTACATTAAAATGCCGGAATTCGCTTTTCCGAGAGTCTACATTTCAAAATTTTCTGGGGGAGCATGCCCCCAGACCCCCCTAGCGTTGGCTTGCGCCGAAGGCGCTCGCTACGCCACAGGGCCACGGTCAGCCCAGAAGCTGGACCCGCCCCTGTAAATCAGTGAGGAATATGCCTGTATTAAGCCTTTAATTAGTATTGTTTTATGGCATAACAAGTGGTGGCATGTTAAAATCATAAAATGCATTTTAACTAGGATCTTTACTTTTTATTAGAGTGCAAAAGTAGTGTGATATCAAAGCAGTATTGTAAAATGGTATAAAGGTGGTCTCTGAACACCCAAGATCAAAGATTGACTGGGTAGCCTGTGTTTCTGTATTTACAGTTCTTAGAATTATACGAGTATTTATAAAGAAATCGTCAGAAATCTTCGTAAAAAGCATGACGGAAGGTCAGTAGTCTTTGCTACTTCCTATGAGCTATCTATTTTAAATTATTTAGTGAGTAGATTATCCAATCAATGGTAATTGAAAGCATGGCTTTTAAGGCATGAAAATTATCGCCAAATTTAACATCCATATTGGTAGGCAAATCCCCGAATTGGATGTACATCTAACATATCAAACTAAAACAGGGTCAAAAGCTGTTCTTGCTTAACACCATGAATGCAAAATTGTGTATATGAATATCATTTACCTGTTCTTTGTACTGGTCAGCGTGTCTACGTTCTTCCACGACTTGGATGGAGATTTCCCGCACTTTTTTCTCCGTTTTTCAAAGATTTTTGGCTAAGGATGCGCGATTGCTTAAGAGAATACGAAGTTGGGATCATGAAGCCTCAACTCCAATGACATCAAGTTTATGCACAAAGACAACACTTGTAGCGTAAACATGCTTTTATCACGCAGTGGCGTAGCTGGCAGAAAGTGTTTGGTCATCCTCTCTTACAACCTCAAGAGGCGCGCCATGGTTGGCGCCGAGCGTGAACATTTTTTAAAATTTAGACCGTGTACGACCCCCAAAACAACAACATTTACCCAACCAGTTAAAGTTTAAGTAACCCTTGAAAGCTACGAAAAAATGTTTTAAAAAATATTTTCAATATCTACGTTAACTGTAATTATTATTACATGAAGTAATTATCTCTCGCTCTTAAAGATTACAAACAATTATCTATGTTCTTTTGAATTGCATGAAGGCAATACAAACTATATGACTTTTATGAAGTAGTATGCAGAGCGTTGTCGCTGGCGCACTTCACCTTGAGATAGCGTTGCCGCTGGCGCACTTCATTTTAAGAAAGCGTCATTTCTGGCGCACCTCACAGTTTGAGAAGGAGTATACACAAATCTAAGTGCCCCAGCCACAGTTCGCTACGCACTTCTTGTAATTAAGCTAGCATAATTACAGCGAAGGTCAAACCCAGGACAACGGTAGGAGCCAAAGACGGACAGCCCACACCCCGCGCCCGCGCGGCCGGCCGTCGGAGTCAATTATTTAGAAGTAGCGTATAGTAGGGTACGTGGTAAGATGAATAATGAATCCAAAAGAGTACGTATAAAAACACAAGAGCAAAAAGAAAGAAGAGAAAGAGAGAAAAAATTGAATAATATAAGAATAAGACAAAGAGAAGAACATCTTAAATTTCAAACCAGGCTGCTAATAAAGACAGGTACGATACAATTAGAAGAAGAATATTTATATATTATATAGAATCGAGATGGACACTGTTAGAGAGATTCTGCTACTATATAAACAGGCTGTTATAAGTGGAAGAGCTCTAAACTCATTCCTTGAAGCTTTTCAACTAGCATCTACATCAAGAAAGCGTACTAATACAGCTCCACCTGAACCTCCTTCGGTACCATATAAACGCTGACCTATTAAGCCTAATGACGTAATAGAAATTAGACCGCCTGTTATAACAAATTCTGTAGGTTAGGAAGCTGCGTATGGAAATATGAGCGACCCAGCGTTAATACGCTATAACGCACTTCAGTTTCTAAGTGCAATTCCTCCAAAAACTAAAACTCCGACGCATCAGGCGGCCGGTTCACCCCCTTTGCCAAACGTGAAATGTTCTTATTCAGTTCTAGAAAATGAAGGAAAGCCTTCGGAATCATCTAGCGCTTCGTGTAGCAAATCTTCATCAAACAACCGTTGAAGATTCGGGTATTATACTTTCTATAGTGTGTGTGATAATTACTTTAGCAGTTCCCATCTGTTGAACAACTAATGTTGCATCAGCAGGTAAGTCTACATCTATAAAATCACTATAGCTACATTCAGAGTTAATATCACCAATACGATGTGTTTTTGTTTTACTTAAGACAAGTAATTTGCTAGGAAATTGAAGTACTCGTAGCGCTCCTGCACTTGTAAAACATATTCCACTTAATGATATTCGGTAGAATCCAGCGGTTTCGATGGTGATTGTAGAAGAATCTTCTTTACCTTTTTTACACATCGCGACATTGGTCCAATCTGAGCCTCTTTTCC